CCATCATGAGATTTCTCCGAGTGGCGTATTTCCTGGCTGTGATCCTGTGCCCCCGTGAACAGTATCAGATACAATTGGTCAGTAGATCTCAGATCAAGCCAGGCAAATGTGTAAGGCCCTTGGAGTTACAACTAGGTGAGATACAAGCCCACCAGGAAGCAGAAGGCAGCTGGGAGATTCTCTTTGTCAATGAATGCATGTGGCAAGTGTGAACGTGCAGACTGCTGAGCTCCTGCCTGCCTTTTGAGATCACCACTCAAGGAAGCACTGGTTGCAAAACTTGCTTACGCAAGTCTAAGTAGATCCACTACAGCTAAGTAAGTGGATGGCATGAAGAAGACACCTACATATCAAAATGTTCCATGGTAAAAATCATGGTCCAGATTTTTTTAGGTAATCCAGACCTCTAATATGACCTAGTCAGAATAACAAAGCCACATGCTAAAGTTGGGATTTGTTTGATAAAATGTAGACATCTGCAGTGTAAATATTTATAGCTGAGATGGTCACCTTTACTTCCATATATGTCTGTAGAGAAATAAAAGGCATCATCGAATCTACTTTGAGGATGAAATGGCTTATGTCTCAGGCTCTACATATTAGATATCCAGAGCTACAAAATGAGCAAAGTGACTTGCTCATTTCCAGTATAGATACATTTGCAGGCACCAACATTTAATTAGATGAATCCCATGCTAAGTGTACATGACCCAGGAAACTGTCATTGAGTATCTGAGTAACTCCTGTGCCATTCTTTCCTAGCCCCAGGGTTGGGAACAGGTCAACAAGAGTCTGGATGGGAAAAAATTAAAATGAAAAAGGGTGCATACAGATCAGCAGTGAGCTTTATCAGTTCTTATCTGGCAGAAAGTCCCTTGAGGACTGCTGACAGCTAGAAGAGGGTCCAGCAGGAACCAAGGCAGCTCCAGACTAGAACAGGGAAAAAATCTCAAACAAGGCAGATTGGAAACACTGATGTAAGAAGTAGCCTTGCTCCACTGCTTGGAGAAGTTGAGTATGAAGTAATCATTCCCCTCCTTTTCTTTTCTGCCTTTGGCTTTCATTATTTCCCTTTATCACTTTAATTCCCTCTCCAGAGCGAAGGAGTCAGATTCTGGGTCCTGCTGAGATTTCATTTTCATGAAATTCTCTTCTCTGTTGAGGATGTATGTGATGGCAGAACAGGGATGGACACATAAGGTCAGCATGTGCCCCTTATTTCTTTTCATACAAAGGCTCCTAAAGAACATAAAGCATTTAAGAGGAAGAAATCATCATAAAAGTCATGGGGAAAAAAAAAAATCAAACCACAACAACACAAAAAACCCAACCCAAACAAAAAACAAACAAGCAAAAACCACCAAAAAAATCCCAAACCCAAACCAAATCAAACCAAACAAACCCAAACCAAACCAAAAAAAACCACTAAACAAACAATAAACAAACAAAAAATCTCAAGGTAATCATTGTCTCTGAAGCATTATAGGCATGGCACAGCATCAGAAGGAGAAATCTCAGCATCTCATCAGCATCTACTGTTCTGTGTAGAATAAAACAGTAATAAGCTCAGCATCTGAGCATGAGCGGTAGGGGCAGAAGGAGAGGGGAAAACAGAGCCCCGACAAGTCAGGGTTGGATGCTTTCCATAACATAGTGCCAGCCTCGCTCTTCAAGACCTGTGGTTGCAGTTGCACCATCAAGGTTGTGCTTCTGTTGGACCTCACCCAGAGGAGCTCTGGGGGATCATTTAGTTTACGTCTGCATTCACAGACGCTGAACACAGGAAGGAGGCAAAGCGAAGGCAAGAGAGTTGAATCTTACATCTGCATTCACAGACGCTGAACACAGCAAGGAGGCAAAGCGAAGGCAAGAGAGTTGAATTATCTACCACAAAATGTAGGAACCCATAAAAGGTTCTTCCTCTTTTGGCTTCAAAGTGCATTGCTTTCCATGCAGTACTTTTAGGCAGGAGAAATACCAGCGGAGAAGACAAGGTCTCTAAGCAGGAGCAGAGAACCTACTATTACCATCATTTTTTTTTGCACCATGCGGGTACCTTGGAGTAGGATTCATGATCTGTAACATCATTGTTCTAGATGCTGTAGAACTTTTTTTTGCACCATGTGGGCACCTTGGAGTAGGATTCATGTTCTGTAACATCATTGTTCTAGATGCTGTAGAAACACAGATCACAAAGACCGTTCATGTCCCACATTCAAGCTTTATATGTGATCTTTTGACTCTTTGTCACCTGCAACAGAACAATGTGGAGCTTCTTTGCTTACAGAGATTACTGTAGTTCGGCTGATTTGGACGATTTTTTTTTAAGCCACAGTAACTTGAATATGTGCCCAAGCCTCTACAGACTCCCTAAAAACTCATAATCCCGTTTTATACCCTACAGACCCTCTGAGAAATAAATCCTCAGAAAATTCATCTATTTAATCGTTCTACGGAAATTTGCATGCAGAAGTAGTCAGAGCAGGGAAAAGGTAGTTATGTGCTTCTCTCTCTTGAATAAATAGAAGTTTACTCACCAGCCAGGCAGGATTTCTTCCCTCTTTCAGCTGTTTCTGACAAGCAAGGGAGTTATTTCCTATGTATCTCTTTCTTTGAGGGAAACAAGATAATAACATATTTCTCCACTACCTGCCATCATTAGTAAGTCTTACTGCTACAGAGGAGTAACAAAAAACAAATGTTGGGCAATTTTCAGTTCTCCCAAGTGAAAAACAGATTGTCTGCAGAAGGTGAAAATCGAGAGGAACCAACACACTGCTTAATTTAAGGGCAGTTACTACCTCTTCGGGGAGTTTCATAATGAAACTTCTCCAAACAATGCTTGATAACTTAACCTAAAAGCCAGGTTCAGCTGTGGTGAATAGTACTCCATACCAGTAACAGACCAGGAGGAAAAGTGCTTTTGGAGTAAACAGATACCTGTGGTATTTTTCCAAGTACTGTAGAGTGTGAATCCACCATGCGTGGAGTATTGCATGTTGATACACCTCTTGTTAGCAGGCAGCAACAAGGTGTCATCCAAAACAGAGTAAGTAGTATCTCAATGATGTTGAGCAAACACTAAGAAGATGGTAGAGCTCTGTTGATGTACTATCCTTTAGCTATGGAGATAAGGCTTTATTAGGAAAGAGAGTAGCAGGATCTGGTTTGAAATAAGTATCATGTAATGAAAGGTGAGTCTGGCAGGTCAGGACTTAAAGGTGTTAGAGTGGAATGCTATTGTCCCAGAGATGAAAAGAAATATATGTGAAACATGTCTACAATAATTAAAAAAAGGTAAAGAGAAAGGGAAACAAACTGGATCCAAGGACTAAAACAGCTTTCAAACAAGAAATACGCCAGAATTCTTCACTGGAAAATAAATGTCTTTGGTGGGATGTGGCTTCTTTACCTAAAGCCACATCAGCTGTGGAACTTGTTGCCACAGGATGTGGTGAACAACTAAAAGATGTACAATGAGCCTGGGAAAATCTTATTATTATTATATATTTTTTTTTAATCCAAAAATACTGGGGAGACAGAATAAAGAACAGCTGGGCTCTTCTGCTAAGTGCTTGAAAGGATTTCAATCACATTGAGATGCAAAAGCCTTACCAATGGCTCTGGACCTCCTCTATCTCTGAGCTATGGTCTTTGAATTTGGAACTAACAGGGAGGAGGAGTTCGGTCCGCATAGTCCCCCAACTACCATGGTCATTCCGGATTTGAGTGATAAAGAACAAACTAGCTGGTGAAACGGTCTCTTTTGACCTGGGAAAATCTATGAATTCTTGAATCCAAATAATAGTCATTGCATAACCATAAGAAGTAGGGTTTATGTTCAGCTTCTGGCATTGTTCTGGGAGTAGGGAGGGTGAAACAGTTTTTTCCCTTTTGTCCTTGCTTATGACACTTCGGGACCAGGAAAGAATTGGGAAGCTCTTCCGTAACGCACAAAGAGGGTCCAAAACCACATCCCTGGGGCTGAAATGATCTGCCTGATGTACATATTTTCCTCAGTTCCATCAAACCACACAGTTCATTTGCCCAAAGCCGGGAAGCAGAACAAATGAAATGAATAGCAGGACTCTGATGGAAATAGTCCTAACAGCTAAAATGCAGGAATATCTTGCTTCAGAGGATGCTCTAGTAAAATAGAGATCTGTATCCTGCCCTTCCTTGCTTCTGGGCTAAAAAACGTGGTGAGGAGAAGGAAAGAGAAATCTCCACTCTTTCATCACACCCCCAATGTGTTTTATCTGCTTTTCTCTGCAATTTCCCAGTTCTAGTCACAGCAGAAGCAGTTTGGACAGGACTCAGAAAATAGACTCTGATTTCCAATTAGTTTCTTTGTCATTCTTTGCCCTTCTCTCATTGATGCTGGCCATAGGCAGCTCCTGCTGCAGTCGGTAGGAAATGAGACAGGATATTAAACTATTAATTTTGTCTTTGCTTGCTGCCTCAGTTTCTTATCTCAGCAATAGCACAAGTATTCTTTATCAAGATTACAGTCATCACAAAGTTAATCCCTGTAAAGGTCTTCAGATCGTGTGAGAGAGAGGCACAAATTATTACTGAGTTGATGAGGCAGAATGAGCAGTTACAGAACTGACCAGTGATGCACGTAGTCTTATGTCCAGTCCCCAATAGCTGTTGCCACCTGCACCAGTAGGAGACATAAATACTAGCAAAGGCTTTCCAGGCACATTGTTTCTTTTTTTTTTTTTTTATTTATTCTTGGATTACTTTTGTAGATATATATCACTGTATCACCTGAAGCACAGAACCTCTGGTAATAACCCACAATTGTTCTGGTACATCCCCATTGATTGATTTTTTTGTCCTCATGATGTTTCTCTAAGCTCATTCAGCTGCAGTGGCTGCACCTCTTCCCGTTAAGACGTTTGCACTGACATTGCTGAAAGCCCCTGCAGACATGATAGGAAAGGTTCAGAAACCATCAATTCAATGTGCATGATCTATTCAAACTGGAAACTCACCTGGAGAAGAGTCATTGAGAGGGTTCAGGGCAGCTGCCCTCCGTATCTTCTCCAGACAAGTCTCTTGCTCCTTTTTAATGATGCAGTTGGAATGGGTTGCTGAAACCTGAAAGGTGGTGAAAAAATGCGGAGAAAAAACAATTAGAAACTTAAAATAGCTAGTGAGTTTATCAGGAAATATCAGTAAGTTTTGAGGTCCCATTCCAAAAAGAAAAAGAAAGAAAAACATCCCTAGAAGATGAGAGAAAACTGCAATAAACTTTTTTTCTTTTGTCTCCTTTTTTCCCTTGTCTTCTTTTTTCTTTTTTTTTTTTCACTTTCATCAGACTTAAGGTCAAACTATGGAATTATAATTCTCATAAGCTGTTTGGGGTTTCTATGTTGTTTTCCCTGTGAAAGTGTAATTTCTAATGTGTTTGCTTAATTTTATTATATTCCTTCCTCATATAAGGCTGAAGCAAAGCTACCTCTAAATTGAGAAAAAATTTAAAGAGGAATCAGAAATCAATTGAGGCTCAGTTTGATCTTCCACCAGTTTCTTACGAGTCTTGCACAATCCATTAACCTCACTCAGGATTCAGCAATAAATTAAAAGCTCTTTCTCTTAGTCTTTCATCCTGTCTATTCCTAAATGTTTCCTTCTTTCTTTATTCCCAGTGAATACGAGGCTACTTTCTTGCCAAAAGAGAATGCAATGCCAATTAAAATAAGATGACTTGTTCCAAATCTTTTCTTTTTGATCCAAATCTTTCCCTTTTCTTCTCTCTCTTTTTTTTTTTGGCTATCTTTAGGACTCTAAGGCAGCTCACCACGAAAAAAGAAGGGGGAAAAAAAAAAAAAAAAGAAAGAAAAATGAGTCTGTAACAGGAACATTGCAGCCAGCAGAATGCAAGCAATCCCAAACCAACAACAAAATAAGAATGAGACCCATTCCTGGAAATCAATACAAGATTTCATTCCTGTTGTAGAAAGTGGTTAGGGGTTGTCAATTCAAGAGAAATACAATCTCAGGTTTCATTAGAACATTTTATAGGGGCACTGCTAAGGTTCAAATCACACCCTGTGGAAAGCACCGTGAAAATCAGTGCAATGGTTAAAGATGGGATAGATCACCCTGGTTCTCTGCAAACAATTTTGCTGTTTCATATTTCCCATCTCATTTCCTTCAATCTTGACAATGGAGAATGACAGAGGAAGTAAAATGTTTTACAGAAATGGTCTGTTTTCCTTTTAACTGCTAAGTAGGAACAAGTAAACAGGGAAAGCAATTCCTGAATTCAATCTACTTCAATTTATTGGAATCATGGAATGGTTTGGGTTGGAAGGGACCTTAAAGATCATCTAGTTCCAACCCCCCTGCCATGGGCAGGGACACTCTCCACTACACCAGGTTGCCCAAAGCCTCATCCAACCTGGCCTTGAACACTTCCAGGGATGGGGCAGCCACAACTTCTCTGGGCAACCTGTTCCATTGTTTCCCCACCCTCATTAAAAAAAATTTCTTCCTTATATCTAATCTAAATCTCCTCTCTTTCAGTTTAAAACCATTTCTGGAGCGCTGTCTGCACAGCTCAGCTTTACTTCCCTTACATCCCAAAGGGAATGGAGTGAACAGTTTGGGCCACTAATGCACCGAGCTGCCACCACACACTCAATACACGCTTACAGTAAATCCCAAGGCACGCGTAATCCTCGTTTGGTGGTGCTTGTGTTGTGCTTTTGTGCATGCCAGGAGGCAGGGAGCCGCTTGCATGCTTCAGACATCATAACAATTACAAGCCACCACCCCTAATACAAAGACAGAGAGAGTTTCCTAATGAACTTTATTTTACTAGCTTTACTCATCATTTGTACGAACTGATAATGCTACAGTTTCACCTTCAAAATCCCAGTAACAAATTTCAGCTGTTTTCCCAGTGAGATATACTAGGCATAACCACATTAGATTTGTTTATCTTCAAAACAAACACTGTTCTGTTCTAAGGGCTCTCAAGGGCCTGGAAAACATTTATTGTCACCAGTCTCTGGGATCTCCCAAGAACATCAGGGCTTTTGTTACACCATCCCCTAAACCTTGCCAAGGATTGGGAAAACTGTGTTGGCTGACGTTCAGGTTCATGTAATATCTTTTTAAAAGATAAAAGAGAAATAGCAAGTAAATCAGACTTGTGCTGTTAGTTCTGGTTCCCTCTCCACAGTTGCCCAGGTCTGAAAAGAGTGTCCAGGGGTTGTCTCAGTACATGAAGGTGGCGGTTTCTGTACTATTCAGTATTTGCACAAGCAGGATATGAATCAAGAAAAGTTTTAACACACTTCTTGTTAACCTGTAGAACTCTTTTCAGCTTGATATTGTGGATGTCAAATATTATAGGAGTTCAATATATGTATGTGTGTATGCAAAGTCCACCATATTATACTAAACACTAAGAAACCCACCATGCCCCACTTTTGATGTCCTATGGCGCCAACCTAGACCTTTGAGAAGAAGATTTAAATTCAGTCAATAGCTAAAGGATGAAAGGGTGTGATTTATCTTTATTATTTTTGTTGTCTTCTTTAGTAAGAGGTAAATCAAAGCCAGGACTTGATTGATTATAAAGAAAGCCTAAGGTTAAAAGCACAGATTTTATTGTTTTCCTTGCAGACCGGCACATCTAGTCCAATGTATCTGACTAAACTGACTAAATTTAGTCAATCGTATCTGAGTAAGTCTGGCTCAGGAGGTATTTGAAATGCAGACTGCTGGGCCCAAAGAGAGCACTAGAGTGATGTGCTTCACCCATCCCTGCAGCCTTCCTTAAGCTTTCACTATCAGCAAGATATTTTGTTGTGACTTCCTATAACCATCTTTATGCCATTATGTAGCACTCTTCATCAGCACATTTAAAAAAAATAATATTGGGGAATACGGAAACTGAGGCAGAAAATAATCAGTCGAGTCAGTCTTCAATAGCTGAACAGCAGAGCACAATTCAAATTGAAGTGTAAGCCTGAGCTTCATGGCCTCCCGATTTCATTTCTTTTGCCTCAAGGACATTTGCAATTTCCTGAGTTCAGTAGAGACAGTCTGGTTTCAGTTTCCCAGAAGATATCGGTGATATGTGCAGTTGATGAATATTTTGACACATACTAGAAAATTCAGGAAACCAAGTAGATAGCACATGAAATTCGCTCTTTCAAAAAAAAAAAAATTACTCTCAGTGGAGTGAAGGAGTTAACCACACCAATTTTGAAAAGGCATATATTTATATAGATACAAATACAGCAAATACAAACAACGTTTGTTTAGTTCTGAGAGAAAGCAAAAAGACAAAAGCAGCTGCCTACAACACTATAGATGTACAACAAATTGAGAGCTTTCATTTTTCTTCAATTATTTTTATTAAGGCAGCCACCACAGAGATAAACTGGCATGTGCTGTGTGTAACTTGCAGTACTTAACTCTTTATTGTTCCCTTGACATTATGGTAATACTAATAACAATCATGTTATTATGTTACAATCTACATATATTCTATCACACATACTCTCCAGGTGCTGCTTTATTGTGAACTATCCCATTAAGAAAGCCATTGTTAGTACATAAACCTGAGCAGAGAACAACGTGCATGTCTCTGTGCTGCTTTCAGACCTCCCATAACTATGTGTGTAAATCAGATTAGCAAATTTGAGAGTCAAATGTTTAAGCAAGGCATTGGCCAAAGGGAAGGAACCACATGGGAGGAACTGCGGTTCCCTGTTCCACCTACACTTCCCTGCTCATGGAAATAAATAGATGTTGCTGGGTTATTTCAGGTAGGAAGTTAAATAAGCTCTCTTTCTTCTTGTTTTGGTTCAAATACTAGGAGCAACGCAGGTGAAGGTAACTTCAAGGGCAACTTCTTCCTTTCCCCAAGATTTCTATACTGGAAAGGCAACAAAGCACAAAACAAGGCTGTGAGCAGGCAGCTGAAGGAGCAGGGCTGGACCGCAATAAGACAGCTTGTACTAAGGAGCAAGGGATATGAACTTAAGCTGGACACCATGCTTAGGTCTGTCCTGACTTATGCACTGTGTATATGACACTAACATACAGCTGCACCCAGAGAGAGCAGGTCAGAAGTCTAAGCAGATATGTCTAGACAGTTTGATGTGCCTTAGGGTATCTTACTTGACCTCCACTTGCTGCTGTCTGCATGGACCTTTATGTTTGCCCTTTGTCAGGATATTTTGGACACTGTAGAGTGTCTTTAACTGTAAAAGACATTTAGGTTCCAGCACTTGAATCATTTCTTCAGCTATATTAAGTGGACACAGGTCTTCTCAGAAGAAAACCAGCACATTTTCTACTCTTGTACCACGTTGATAGTCACTGATAAAGACTTCTGCAAAGGAGAGGTGGTTGATTGGCTGGAAGGATTTGGAAATTTTTTAACACATCAAAGCTGAGCATTGAAAGCGGTCTCAGTGTTATCCAAACTAATCAGCCTGTGGGCCAACAGTGCAGAACGGTTTAGCCAAGAAACCTGAAAGGTCTTTGACTACATGCAGTCAACCGAAAAATACAGTTCTGCTCATTTTACTCTCTGCAATAATGTTCACAATTGCTTTAAAATATTTCACTACACAAGTTAACTCAGAGTATCTACAGAAGTGAGTAAGTCACTAATATTCTGGAGAAGCTCTAGCTTGAGAAAATATGCTTATAAGTCATAGTAAAGATGCGATAATAAACGTGTAATCCGCTTAGCATTTTAATTTCTACAAAGACCTGACCAAACACAGCAATTCAGTACCATTAGCCACTCTTTATTTCTGTATTACACCTATAAAGTCCTTACTCTTTGTTTGCAAAGTGAATGAGAATATATCCACTCCATTCAGAATATGTCATACCAAGCACTGTGACACTAAGGAGAGGGGCAAAGAAATACAGATAAGAAAAAGCAAAGAAACAAGATCAAAAAACCTCCTCGTTAAATTCCTCCTGGACAGTGTTTTATATCAACAAAGAGATGAAATAGAGTCTGGTCCACCTTTGGTCTAAGTATTGTCTCTAAAGTAATGCAAGAGAGAAATTTAATCCACTTGCTGTATTGGATCACTCACTTCATACCGAATTACACT